GTGTCCAGGATAATGTGTTCAGACACAGGATCACATCTGTGTGGTGGTGGGCACTCACACTTCAGCTCCAACCTAACCCGACAGGAGGAAGCCCAGTATTTTCAACAAGGAAATATTTTTTTTTTCCTAAAATCTTTTCTACTGTGTTTAAAGCTTTCACTTTCACAATTAGGTACCAAAACTGCTGCAGTGAGAAGGTGAAGTCACTTTCCTGTTGAAGGTGTCACAGCATGACTGCTCAAAGTACTAATCAATTAAAGATGAAGATTTATGGTTGAGACTGGAAGACTGAGGTCAAGGCAAGTCTAGGGGATGCATGGTGAGTTCCAGGCCAGCCGGACTCACAAATACCAAAATAATAAATAAAGAAATGACACTTTAAACTTCCTGTAATTTGTTGCATTCTTCAAATTAAAGCAAAGGCCAGGACCATCAGGATGGCTCAGCAAGTAGGAGAGCTAGGAACAAAGTCCAACTGCCTGAGTTCAAGCCCCAGGATCTACACAGCGGAAGAACAGCAACTCCGGCAAGCTCTTTCCCCTCTCACACATGTGCTGTTCACCCCCCGCCCAACCGGCCCCAATTAAATATATAAGTAAATACAATAGCTTAAAACATTTTAAAGATTTTTATTTCATGAGACCGGGTCTCACTATGTAGTCCTGGCTGGCCTGGAACCCATTATGTAGACCAGGCTGGCCTTGAAGTCACAGGGAATTTCTGTCTGAGTGCTAGGATTAATGGTGTGTGCCCCCCCCCCACCTGCCGCCACAGCCTCTAGATTTGTTTGAGGGTTCTGCCTGTAGGTATGTCTGTGCACTGCCTGCACGCAGTACCTGTAGAGGCCCGCTGAGGGCATCAGATCTCCTGGAGATGGAGTTACAGATGGCCGTGAGCTACCATAAGGGAATAGAACAGAGCTAATGCTCTTGACCAAGGAGCCATCTCTTTAATGCCCACAGCATCTCCCTTCCCCAAGCAAGGGACAAAAAAACTGATCAAGGAGAGCTTAAAAGTTAGAGGAAGCAGTCTGAGATGGCACAAGGCCGGGGGTGGGGGGGCACAAAAAGCAGTAAAGGGCATGGAAGGCTGAGGTTCCCTGGATGAACCTAGGACCTTCTACAACTTCCCCAGGGCTCAGAGAGGGCCAACAGTCTGCCCATGATCTCTGGAATCAGACTGAAGTCTAACTCTAAGCCTGGGTCCTCCACAGCCCTAGTGCCACCACAGGGCAAAATGCAGGGATGCCTCCAGAGCGGACAAACGGATGCGTGAAAACACTGGAAGGTACCGGGCTGACCTCTGCTGAGAACCTGGCAAGACAAACACACGTAAGGGGCTTGGGCCTGCTATGGGCAGGGGGGAGGCGGTCTCTTACTTCCTTAGAAGTCACATTTTCAAGGTCCTGGCTCATCATGATGCTCCGGAGCTTGGCTTTAATTAGACGCTCAGTTCTTTCCCCCTCAGTTGGCCTGGGAAGAAAACGTACAGAAAGTTGCAGAACTCTGAGAAAGCAATCTCAGACGGACGTCAGACCCTCACGGGTCTAACCTCGGCTGAGTAGGCACAGGTTATTGTGGGTGTGTGTACAGTGTTTGGAGAAGTAGAGAAGCTCCATCTCCAGTCCCCACAGGAGCCCCGCGTGGAAAGAGAGCAGGCCAATGGGCAGAGGCTCCTCACAGACCACACGCTGTAACTACCTACACCCTACACCGCTGGGACATCTCCACCTACCACTCCTACCTGGGGCACTGCTGCCCCATGAGTCCTCACATGAAATCCAAGTCTGTGAGTCCTCATAACGTCTGCATGCCAGCCCTGTTAATTAACTCCTAGGGTCACGGGGACTGGGACAGTCCTCCCCCCAGTGACTTCAAAAGCCTCAAATGGTCATCATCATTTCATCTCAAGAATTCTTGGTGGCGTCTGGCAGTCTGAGCAACTCTTCTCCTAAAACTAGTCTCCCAGCCGACACCTCCCTGAGGGAGTGGGACCCTGACCCCTGAGAAGTCAGAGAATGTGGCCTGAGTCACTTTCTCTGTTGGGGAAGTTGTGAAGGCAGACAGTCCTCTGGACCAAGGCATCAACACAGCAGGCTGAATTTGCTACTACCAACCCGTGGGGACACAGTCTGAGCACTGAGCACAAACAGAAGGGGCAGCCAGGGTGGCGTATTTCTGTGGTGATCTGACCGAAGTGCAGGGTCACGCCTCACAAACGCACCCATCAAATCCACTATTTTAAAGGGCGAACATGCATGCGAGAGAGAGGGAACACACACAAACCCTTCTTTTAGAGAAGCATTTCTCAACCTGTGGGTGTGGGGAGACCCCTCTAGGGGCTGAATGACCCTTTCACAGGGGTCACCTAAGACCACTGGAAAACACAAACATTTACATCATGATTCATAAGAGCAAAACTACAGTTATGAAGTAGCATCATAAATAATGTTATGGTCGGGGTCACCACAACATGAGGAACTGTGTTAAAGGTTGCAGTGTCAAGAAGGTTAAAGAATCATAGACTCAGGTAACAAGTTCTACCTGAAAACCTGTTCTAAGAAGGGGCTGCAGGGAAGCATGACCTTGAGACGACCCAGTGTTGAGCAGTGTGACCTTGAGAAGACCTGGTGCTGAGTGGTATGACCTTGAGAGGGCCCAGTGTTGAGCGGTGTGGGAGGCAGCCCCAGTGCATACTTGTCCACAAACAGGGCTGGGGAGTCGGGTCTCGTGGACTCCAGATCCTGCATGGCATTCCACTCATTGATGCAGCTCTGCTCGGAGCCGATGCAGCTCTCATAGTAGGTGGCCCAGATGAGCGCCACCCCACCAGGGAAGTAGTTGTGCCTCCGTGCCACTTCACAGGCCTTGTGAAGCACTTGGAGGGCAGACCTGGGGGAGGAGAGAGAAGCTCAGGACCAGGAACTTGGGTTCTGCAGCTTGCAAAGGGTACACTTCCATGGTAGTGGGATGGGCACTCAGAAGGGACTCCCTGCCCACACGGCAGTCAGGTACAACTATTAGCTCCCAGAGGCTGTGTCAACTAAACTCACAGCGGACAGGATATCCCTCATCCTTTCCAAAGAAGTAAATAAACACCAGCAGCAGGCACACCCCATAGTCTCTAACTCTTCCAAGCTGGCTGGGTCACATTCCAGCAACCAACTCCAAAAGATGCCAGATCTGCTTCTGAAGTCACAGCAACCTGCAACACAGGCAGGGCTGTACTCCAGGCATCTAACGGTGGGGAAGAAAGGTCTCTAAAGAACAGCAGAAATTCCTGAGCCCACCTGTGGACCCCCCCCCCACGAGTGTGTAATATCTTAGGGCCTTAGGGCGTAAAAATGTGTGTGTTTTATTTAATTAGCCTCTTTTACCTCTTTTGAAAAAAAAATCAGGCTGAAAATTTCTCAATGAAGAGGCTGCCAAGGGAGGGAGGTGTTGGCCAAGGCAGAAGAAGCCTCCGAAGGGAGGGCATCACCAGGTGAGGGTTTGTATGACGGCGCACGGACACTGCAAGGAGCCTCACTTTTTGTAATATTATCCATCCTACTGTCTAGGCTGCTTGAGGGAATAAACTTGGAACCAATGTTTATTAAATTAAATTTATCAATTTTGGTTTCTAAGAATTAAAAAAAAATGTGGGCAAGAGAGAAAAGAGGCAGCAGTTACAAAAGAAACACTCGGGGCGTTTGCTGGCTGTTCATCCTCTGAACACCGACTTCGTTGCGCTCATCCACCTCAGAGGACCCTGGGCTGAGTCAGCCCAGAGTGAGGCAGAGGCCCGTGAGAGAGCGCAGAGGCCCGCAAGAGGGCGCTTCGGGAGTCTCCTGCCCTGGAAGAGCGGAGTCACCGGGAAATGCTCTCAGCTGCTCCTCGAGCGCGAAGCTTTTCCTGGTTTATCCCAACTGTTCTGTTGCCCGGTTACAAGAACTGCTCAGCCCACAGCTGTACCCAGCTTTTAGAAACTGCAGTGTGACACTGTCTGCTACAAACCTGCTGAGCCACACCCACAGTGAGCATGCGGCCCCAGAACCCCTGGCTGGACACACCTAAGACAGAGCTGTAAGAGGAGGCTGACTTAGGAAGCTGTGGACATTTCCACATTCACCCACAGCCACTACAGAGGGTCAGGGAGGCCCCCCTTCCCTGGATCCAGGCCTCACAGCTGTTATTCTGAGGCTCCATCACCATGAGAACGCTTACCCAGCTGTCTTGGCATGGCATACAAGTTTGCTCACGTATGCATAGTCACCTCCCTTCAAGAAGCTTTAAACTCCAAGAGGCGACTCACGTTTACATTGTGACCCACCCCCCCCCCTCCCCCAGCCACTCGCTGCTCCAGCAGAGCAGAGCTCTTGTCCCTTTGCCGCCTAGACAGACAGCACCTACTGAGTGCCAGGGGAAGGAATAAGTAAGTGCATGCCAGGATGGTATGGTATGGTATTGACCAGGTCAACAAGTAAAGCTACATCTTCAATCTTAATGCACTTTTTAAATGGGTAAAGAATTTAAATAGAACATTTCTCAACAAAGATGCAAATATAAAATGCATACAAAAAAGTGTTGCTAACAATCATTAGGGAAATTTAACTCATGCCCCTCCTTCCCCCCCACACACAGAGTCTCCTGCACCCATGTCTTCAGTTCCCAACTCCAGGGGGTCCTACATCCTCCTCTGGTCTCCACAGACTCCTGTATTCCCTCATGTGTGTACGTATACACACACACACAAACACACACAGCCACACGCTATTGAGAATAAAAACCGCACACTGAGACACTATTTGGCAGGTCACTAAGATAGCAATTGACAAAACAGAATGACGTTGACAGAGCTCTGCAGAAACAAAGCTTCGCTGGGGGACTGGGTAGCTGCTGCGGACAACATGCGGTGGCTCTCCAGGTTAACACAGAATCACCACAGGACTGGGGGATCTGGGGGCACACACCTTGAATCCCAGAACTGGGAAGCGACGGTGGGCTGAGTTCTGTGAGTTCGAGACCAGCCTGGTTTACACAGTGATTTCCAGGACAGCCTTGGATCAAGTCTCAAACAAAATGAATTCTCCACAGGATCTAGCAGTTTCACTGGTAGAGGTAGAGACCCCAAAAGAACTGAAAGCAGAGCCTCGAACCAATTAAGTACCCAGGAATAGTCCGCGTGGCAGCATCTACAGTAACATCAAAGGTAGAAACAAGCATGCGGGACGCAGAGTAGACACAAGGCTGAAGAGAGGAGACTGACCCACAACATGAGCGAACCTGAACACCCAGTCAGGGGGAAGAGCGACACAGGCAAGGCAAATAACCGAGTGTGTTCACGCAGATGTTCCAAGGACAGGGCAGTTTACAGCCACAGAACGTACAGAATCTTCTGGGGCCGGGAGCTGAGGGGGAGGCTTCCTCTGGGATGATGAGTGTGTTCTGTCAGTGGGTGGGGGTGTTGGCGCCCAACATGCACCAAACACCTCCAACAGTTACAGGGGTTATTTATGCTACACATGATTTGTTTCTAAACACACAGACACATACACACAGATGCACACTCCAACCAGAAGAGACTTCTACATCCATGCTGTCAGGTTGGACTATTTCTAAGGACTTCCAAGTCCCCCAAAGCACACTCACCACATGGCCTGGACAGACACGGGCTTGAAGACGTGCATCCTGCCGGCTGTGCTCACACTGAACCCGCTGAGGATGGAAAATGAGAAAGAGGTCGTGAGCATTCAGTCCAGTCACTTCCAGACTCTGGGTGCAGCCCCACCCCAGATCTGGGACCAGTGTGCCTCCTGCTGTCTGACAAGGGACGGCGGATATGCCACATTAGACGGGCAAAAGGAGAGAAGACTCCTGCTGATCGGGGCCTGTTTCCAAGCTGAGTGTGAGCAGGGTGGCTTCCAGCATTATTTAACGCCACACACTCACCTGTTTTTCTTTCATATAAAAATAAACTAATGAAAAAAACTTTTTTTTTTTAAAAGTGGTGCTGAGATCAAAAGTATCCTATCACCGAGTCACACCCTGCCTTAAAAGCACCCCCACGATCCCAGCACTTCCACTGAGCAGATCTTTGTTCAGCTCAGAGTCCTACTGCAAGAGCAGCTTCCCGTCTCACTTTTCTCCTCGTGCACCGCACTTTCCGGGAGTAAGCGCAGGTGGTACCTTGCAGCCCCCAACCTGCCCAGGCTGGGTGGCAATGCTTCCTCTGCAGCCACAGAGCGGCACCTGACTCAGCTGCATCTTTGGCACCCCAAATGTGAGTTACCCTGCAGTGTTTCGCTCATCTGTGCACTTCTGGATCACAGCCCTGGGAGGGCCCAGAATAATTTACACAATATAGCAACAGACCTGGTGGGACGCTCCTGCAGAGGTGTCTCCTGAGCTAAATCCCTATATCCAGAGTGGAGGATGCATCACCTCTGAGGTGATCAATGTAATACATAAGGCTATCCAAAGACCTGGGCTCTGTTGGTGCTTTGGTGTACAGGGAAATAACGAAGTTCACAAAATGTTTGTCTATGTGTGACTGCATACATGTATGTCTGTGCTTCAAGTGCATGCCTGCTACACACGGAGGCCCAAAGAGGGTGTAGATCACCCTGGAACTGAAGTTACAGGTGGTTGTGAGATGCCACGTGGGTGCTGGGAATCAAACCCAGGTCTTCTGTAAGCGCAGCCAGTGCTCCAAACCCCTGAGCCATCTCTCCAGCCCCCAGAAAAGTATCTTTTAAAGGTGTTTCCGTACCCATCCCCATCAAGGTGGATCTTGGTGTCGCTCCACAGACGAAGGACCATCCCAATGGTGCAGCTTTTGCTACATGGAAAGAGAAGACGTGGGAGTCAGTGTGGACATGCAGTTTTCCCTCAGTCTTTCTGCCTAGCAGCTCCAGGCTACAACTGCCTGGCCTGGCACAGAGGGGTTCCCAGGCTGTGTCCATTCACTGTTGGGTTCTAGAGGACACAGGCCTAGAGCATCCCCGCTAGAGGGAGCGAGAAAGCATCTAAACTGTTTTGGTGTGGCTGTAACTCCACAACTAGAGAGGCCCCTGGGGTCTGGGGCAAGCAGCTGATCACAGGCCCCCACTATGGTGGGCGAACTAGTAGAGTGTCATACCAACTGCGGTGCCCAGGCAAGTAGTGACAGCCCCTCCCAGGCTTCTGTCCTGGGAAACAGGAGACGGGAGGTCCCCACACCTCCACTGCTCATACTCGGGATTCTGTTTGCCTACCTTTTGTGTTGTCGCCACTTTACAAACTAGCTCAATCCGGTTCTGTTTTGCCCATCCTAGCAGTGAAATGATACTCACCGACTTTAGAGACGGCGCCACTGATAAACAGAGAGGAAGGTTTATCAGGGGCTCCTCAGACTGTGATGAAAACTCTTCAGGCATTTAAAGAGCTGGCTTCTGAGAGACTGCTGCAACCGTGCCAGGGCAGCCCCACGGGCCTCAGAAATTCCAAGAGTCTATCTCTCCAGGGCTACGGCTCTGGGAGCGGGATGGTGGTAAGGGAAGTGAATGGGGTGGTATATGGGGGTGGGGTGCTATTCCCTTCTGTGCCTGGGTGACAGGAGCTCTGGGGCGCAGGGAGCCGCCCCCCACTCCAGAGTTCTGCCTACCTCACACCATCCTGCCTTTCAGTATCTGTGGGGAGGAAGTTTCAAGGCTTCCAGATTAAACTAAGCACAGACTAAGCACCCGGGTTGGCAAATTCCCGCTGTCCCTCTTGCAGTCCTACCCATCCATCACCACTGGGGGTTGCGAAATGAGATGCGTAATGAGCCCCACAGGGCTCTAAAGACTATGCAACTGTGCCAAAGCCAAGAGAGCATCCTTTAGATGCCCCAAAATGACAGGGATTGCTTGGGTATGTACCCTGGGATGTGTTAGCAGGTCTGGAACCTTCCAGGGGAAGCAGAGGCTGAAACTGTCCATGAGACAGTTCTATCAATCGGAAGAAGTGGCTGACCGGCTGGCACACCAGTGGACAGATGTCCTGGAGGACTGGGGCCCAGCGCACTATGTGACTGTGACAATAACGGCAACAGTTTCACGCATTCAGGAACATCTCCACGGCTGTCATTACCGTCACTCTCCGGCATTGCCGTGCAACTCCCAACAGAGCAGGACAGTGACGGTGGCTCTGGCATGACACACACGGGAAGTGAGGCAGGGACTGGTTAGGGAGACTGCATCTGCACTACTGTCACAAGTGACAGACGGCCCTGAAGGAGGAAGTAGGTGGGAGCAACTGTGGGAGAAAGGAGCAGGTTGCAGGTCCCTGTGGGTTAAGAATAAAGCAGCTAGCTGGGACCTGGGCCAGCCCAGAGGTGCAGGGAGGAGTTGCAGGCTTGAGCAGAGAGTCTGCTCTGGAAGATCTTTACAGATGCGGGGAAAAGTGGACGGAGGGTGGCGCACCGGCTCATGGTACTCAAAGTGTCCCTGAACTGGAAGCAGAAGCTAACTCCACGACAGTCCTGAGAAGGCCGAAGGAGGTGCCTATGGTCCTAGTAGGTTCTCTCACTGGGAACTCATGAGAATGCACTGTCTCAGGGTTCACACTTTCTGCACCCCAAAAAAACAAATCTCATGGCGAGAACTCAGGAAGAGAATCATTACATTGGCAGGGCAGGTTGCTGGGGAGGCCCAGGGAGAATAGAAGTCTGGTACTCAGGGCTACAGAAGCGGCTGAGAAGGCCAGACCTGTCCTGACCCACCCCCTCCCTAATGATACACCCGGACACAGAGAACATGTGTCCATGTTCCTCTGTCCCCAGTCGAAAAAGGCTTCAGTTTCTTACCAGTCTCTTGACCCCTTTCTATTTTTCTTAAAAGTTATTTTAATTATGTACTTATCTTCCATGTATGGGTGTTTTGTCTGTATGCCAGTAGAGGGCATCAGATCTCATGAGACAAGAGTTAAAGCAGCTGTGAGCAGTAATGTGGGTGCTGGGAACTGAACTCGGGGCCTCTGGGAGAGTAACCAGTGCTCTTCCCTGAGCACCGAGTCTTCTCTCCAGATCTGTGGAGAACATTAACTGCCCTGGGGTTGACCCTGTGGCCAGGCTGGAGCTCTAGCTCAGGGCCTAGCTAGGGAGACACTGGACACACAGCAGAGGCAAGACAATCACAGGGAGAGAGGGACTCATGAGAACCAGAGCTAGAATGCTGACAGATGGCAAGGAAGAACAGGCACATCAGAATGAGTGGAAATGATGGTAGAAGCCTGCAGACCGAAGCTGGAGGAAGGAAGGTACGTGCATATGACAGTGTCTAACGATCTTCCATGACCTGAACTGCACTCCTAGCACATAAGAAGGGCTAACAAGCGCACACACAAGTAC